GGATTGGCGCAGCACGCCGGCCGTAGCAGCCATTTGGGGGGTGAACCAACGGAAAAAGGAAGACCTTTCTGTCTCTCTCTCTCTCTCACTGTCTAACTCTGCCTATTAAAAAACAAAACAAAACAAAACAAAACAGACTCTCCAATGTGGAAGGTCAGTGTTCCAAGTGGCATCTCAACCACTACACCAAATGCCCATGCCATTTGTTCCACAAACTGTTGAAGTACCGAACGTATGTGTGTGTGTGTGTGTGTGGTGGGGTGTGTGCAGGGTTTGAGACTCCGTTGTCCAGGCACTTTGATGGAGCTGTGGGTTTGCATGGTTCTGAGCCACGCAGCAGGGTTGGAGACCTAGTGTCTGTTGCTCTCAGCTCAGGCTGCTGGCTCTAGGAATGGGCGTGGGAAGCCCTGAGGGCCCTGGTTGGCCTTTTTGGCTGTGAGATGAGCAGTAACTCCCCAATATGGCCTGGCTCCTGGCCACTGCCTGGGCCACCACCCCAGCCTGCTGCTTTTGCTGCTCTGGGCTAAGACTTGAAGGAGATGGATTTCTGTCCCAGACGCCAGGCTGTTTCAGCAGCCCAGGTGGTGAAAGTTTGCAGGCAGCGGCTGCCTTGCCCTGCTCGCAGTCACCCTGAGGAAACATCCAAGCTGCAAGCTGTTGGTCTACACTGCAGTGATTGTGTCAAATCGGTGACAGCAGGTGGCCACCACCTGTGACCGTGAACTGTGCCCATGTAGGTGAACTTCTGCTGAGGCTGCCCTTCCCACCTGCCAGGGTGCTTCCATTGCTGGCATACTCACCCAGAGGCCAAGTGGTTTGCCTGTGGCCTCACCTGCATGTCCAGCTCAGAGACTTGAGGCTCCTCGTCCTTGCCAGATGCTGTCACCTCTGCCTGCCTCGTCCTCTAAGGCTGCCGGGCTGCATGGCTTCAGGGTTGCTGTCCGTGTCATGTTCTTGCCTGGTTCTGTTCTGGATGCCCCTGGGCTGTGCAGAGATGGGTCCCAGCTCCGTGGTGCAGCACTGAGGGTTGTCTTGGCGGGGAAACAGAGGCAGCAGGTGGGCCAGTGGGAGAAGTAATGAGCCGAAACCACTGCGCCAGCGTAGAGGTGAGCTCTGTCCCAGGAGGGCCCACAGGGCAGAGCAAGTCCGGGAGTAGAGAGGCTCGCTGGAGGAGGTTTCTGGCCAGGGTGGCAGAGGATGGCGGTGGCCCGCACAGCACTCTGAGCTGACAGGGATGGAGAGGTAGGAGAGGTCTGGGACAGGTGTACCAGGAGTGGCCAGGATGTCTCCGAGCTTCAGCATTTAAATGTATTCAGGTAATTGACACCAGTGCGGGAATGTGTCGTACGGAGTTGGGATTTCACAAAGTCCGCGGAGTGTGGAGCCTGAACACAGGAAGTGCTGTTACTGTTTGACTGCTGTGGCTCCCTCGTCAGAGCCCTGCTGGGCCCTGGGGCTTCCCTCCCAGTCAGCTCTCACCTCCAAGCAGAGGTGCCAACAGCTCGGCCTGGCGTTGCAGTGCAGGTGCAGAGGAAGGTGGCCTTCGGTGAGAGCATCAACACGGACAGGCAAAAGCAGGGCCTGCTTCCGGCCCATCCGCCAGTGGGACCGTCCCCGACCCAGAATCTAGGCGTCCATCCTTTGCTCCCCAGAGATCTCCCCTGGGAAGCTCCCCCCGGGTCTGATCTTCACTGAGCAAGAGACTGTCACGTGGGAGGCCAGGGGCTGCTCTGCTCAGCAGGGTCTTGGCTACAGCTTCAAAACCATGTGCCTGTCAACGAGAGCTGCTGTGGCGCCCAAGCCTACGTGCTGCAAACCGCGTGGTCATCCCACCGAGGAGGCGTGTGGGAGAGGAGTGGAGTGCAGCAAAGAGAAAAGCGTGGAGGAAAACGAAGTTTCAAAAGAAAGAACGGAAAAAGAATGTATTCTTCGATTCCTGGTGTTGGGCCATGTTATTGAAGGGAGATTCCTCGTAATCCTGTCGGATGTTAACGCACCAAGTGAGGTTCACTCCAGAGACTGTTTCCAGGTAATGAAGTCGGCTCTTTCCAAGGAAAGCAACTAAGACAAGAGACACTCCCTTTTCCATGATTCTGCAGGGAAGAAAAGGTGAATTTGTCACTAATTGCAATCTCCAGGGACTAAGCCATGGCGTGTGTGCCATTAGTTGAGAGACTTGACACTGAAAATTGAGAGTCTCCAGCTAGACCCTAATGAGAAGAGAATTCTTAGAGAAAGAAACCCACAGAGATTCAACTGCACTTGCAGAGAGTTCAGAGGAAATCCGAGGTTTGGGGAGAGGGTGATAATGGGGATAAAATCTAATTGTGCCTGCCGTTTCAGATCAGCCAGCCGTTCTCACCCCTAACTGCTACCTAAATGCAGATTAAAGCTGCCTTCCCTGGAAGCTGTGGAAGATAGAAGAATCTAGAAGTCCAGAGACAGACGGGTCCCCTGCCAGGGACTCCGCCTCTTCAGCCTGAGGGCTGTGCCCCCATGCAGGCGCAGGTGCTGTGCTGGCTTTCTCTGCAGGGCCCTCGATGGCCTACACAGGCACTGGCAGTGGCTCTTTCTGGGGCCTCCTCCACTCCCTGCCCACTGAGACGTAGTGACCGGCGTCCAACCCCGGAGGGAGACGGTGCCCCTGTCCACTTGGGCTGCCTTCAGTGTGAATCACCCTCATAGACTTGGCCATGAGCTCCTCATCTTTATCTGGTGTGTTCTCGCTCCCTCCTTCCCTCCTTCAGCATGGGACTTGGGAGTCATAACCACTAGGTCAAACATCTGAGTCTGGATTTTTTTGCCCCACATTATGTTTTTGAGATTTATTTATGTCGTTCTATATTATTTTTGTTCATTCTCACTGCTGTATAATTAATTTTCTAATATATGAACATACCATGAGTTATTTATCTGGCCAACAGTTTGCTTTATTCAGTTGATTGATTTAATTTGAAGGGCAGAAGGACAGAAAGGGAGAGACATAGAGAAAGAAATCTTGCATCCAGGGGCCAGTACTGTGGTGTAGAGGGTAACGCTGCTGTCTGCAGTGCCAGCATCCCATATGGGCACCTGTTTGAGTCCTGGCTGCTCCACTTTCCAATTCAGTTCTCTGCTATGTCCTGGAAAAGCAGTAGAAGATGGCCCTTACACACACATAGGAGACCTGGAAGAATTTCCTGGCTCCTGGCTTCTGATTGGCCCAGCTCCAGCTGTTGTAGTCATCTGGGGAGTGAACCAGCGGATGGAAGACATCTTCTCTTTCTACCTCTGCCCCTCTGTAACTCTGCCTTTCAAATAAATAAATAAATATTTTAAATAAATAAACAAACTGGTTCACTCCCCAAGTGGCCGTAACACCAAGGGTTCGGTAAGACTGAAACCATGAGCCAAGAATTTTGTCTGGGTCTCCTATGTGTGGGTGTCAAGTGACCCAGGTACTTGAGTTATCATTTTTGGTCTCCCAGGCACATTAGCAGGACGCTGGATTGGAAGCAGAGGTGAGATTCCATCCCAGGCATTTGGATATGGGATGGAGGCATCTCAAGCAGTGGCCTAACCTGCTGCACCACGGCGCCCACCCCAGTCTGGTCACCTGTTGGTAGACACTTGAGCGGTTTCCGGTCTGAAGCTGTTAGGATCAGTGCTGCCCTGTGTTTGTGTTCGTGTCCTCTGGGGAGCATCTGTGCACAGTTCTGTATTCCTGGGTCATAGGCACACATGCTCAGCCTCAGAGCACGTAGAAGTATTGTTGGTTTTACTTACTCATGAGGAGTAGCTGGAGACGGAGAGCACTCCCATCTGGTGGTTCCCTCCCCCAAAGGACTGCAGCCGCCGGGGCTAAGCCGGGGCAGGAACTTGAAGCTGGAAACTCAATCCAGGTCTCCTGCGTGGGTGGCAGAGACCCGACTACTTAAGCCATCACTGCTGCCTCCTGGGTTCTGTGTTGTAGGAAGCTGAGGGGCCATGGCTGGCCATGCCCTGGGCATGCTCCAGGCACACCTAGAGCCACAGGAGCCACAGCAGGGAGTTAAACCCAGGCACTCAGATCTGAGACGACGGCGGCCCAGTGTTGCTGTGAAAGACTGTGTTGCAATATGATGTTCATAATAATACTAAATCTTCGTATTTTTCATAGTTATTATTGCACAAGTGGAGTTTTCCAGACCATGCACCTTCTGTTATACCACTGGTGATGGATTGGGTACAGTACAGGTTTGGTAATCCAGCTGTCTTCTGTTGGCCAAGACGACAAAGAGATCTGTAAAAATGCAAAGTAACGCCACCCTGTTTAATATGTTTGTTCTTGAAGATTTTATTCATAGTTTTTAAAAAAAGTGTGTTGATAGAAGCCAGCCTGTGGGGGTGTGGGGGTGCAGAGGGCATTGGGAGTGAAGCTGCAAAGTTGGAGCATCTGTCAGGGAGTTCATTGGCCGAGGGCAAAGCAACCCAATCCCAGAAGCTGCTCTGAGCGGAGACTTTCCTGTCTGTGCATGTCATATGGATCCCACAGGAGACTCTAGAAGATGAAGACAGGAGCAAGTTGGCCAAGTGAGACACTTCATCACAGGTGTAGACTTGGTCCACAGGGGTTCCACAGGGAGTGTGGTTAATTCCAAAAGAGGTCAGCTCTATATGGACCCTCCTGTGTGCCTGGCTCTATCCAGTGGAGAGCAGCCACTGCCATCTGGCTGGTAGTTCATCTGCAGGTTGTTTGCAGCCCCCGCTGGGTGTGGAAACTGAGGGGGCAGCCGTGGGCTAGGAGTAGAGGGACATGGGCGTGGCTGGACCTGGAGCACACCTGAGCTTGTCCTGGGCAAGGCGGGAGCCCCCAGCAGCTTGGCAGCGCACCAACCAGCTCACTGAGCCGCCTCCTCCCCGCCCAAGGTGACGGCCAAGGAGGCCAGGGTGGAGCTCGTGCCCCGGGAGGCCTTGTGCCCGCTTGTCCAGTGTGTCCCGGGCAGGCAGTGATATCTGCCCTTCCACCCCATGTCTTCCAGAACGGCAGCAAAGACAACTCTTTGGACATGCTGGGCACCGACATCTGGGCCGCCAACACCTTCGACTCCTTCAGGTAACTCCCTGCCCCTTTCTCCGCGAGGGTGGCTCCTGCTCTGAGAGCTCAGCGGGGCTCAGCTCTGGTGGGAACAGGCACAGGAAGAAGAGAGACAGCAGGGGTGGTGGTGGTGGTGGTGGGTGAGATGGGAGGGTGGGACGTGGAGAGAGAGGAGGGGGAAAAGAGAAAAAGGGAGGGGAGAGGGGGAAACCGAGGAGCCGAAGGGGCACAGAGAGTGGCACCTGTGGATGGGGGCAGCTGTGGCCGCAGGCCCCTGCCCCTCCCACTGCGGGTTTGCCAGGGGTCCCTGCAGAGTCTAGGGAAAGCATTGCCATGGTTCTGATGCTAGAAGCTTCCTGATGGTTTTCAGGCTTTGGCCACTGTTCCTCCAGTCCAGGGATGCTGGCCCTGAAGGGTTTTCCTGGAGCTCCTGCCGGATTGTCCGTCACACCATGGGGCCATGGGTGGCTGTGCTCTGGGCGTGCTCCAGGCACACCTGCAGGACCGGTCTCCTAGGACTGGAACCTCTGGGAGCCCTGCTCCCCACTCACTGGCCTTCCCTACCGTGGGGGTGCCTGGTGGCCCCAAGGAGCTGCTCTCAGGGGCTGTGGCTTGTGGTGGTGGCCACCTCTGTCTCTACAGCCTCAGCCGCGGGTCAGACAGTCCTCTTGAGGCTGGGGGGCGGGCCGCGGGCCCACCTGGGTGTCTCTAAGCCTTTCCCTGAGGCAGGGCTGAGATGCAAGGGCCTGACACTCCAGCTCTGCTCTGAGTGGGAAGCCCAGCCCAGCCCCTGCCCATGTCCTGGGGATGCCTACCTGGGCTCTGGGCTCCTCCCTCCCGACCTCATGCGTCTCGCCTCCCTCGCCCTCTAGTGGCGCCACCTGGGACCTGCAGCCCGAAAAGCTGGACTTCACGCAGTTCCACCGGAAGCTCCGACACGCGCCTAAGCAGCCGGTGCCACACATCGACCGTGAAGGGTAAGGGGCACCGGGGGCTCCTACGCATGGGTGGGATGGGTGTGGGGGCGGCTCTGTCTGAATAGGCGCCGTTGCCTTGCTGCCTTGGGAACACAGGTGCCTATCATCCTGGGATTCTGTCCCTGTGTGGTCCTGGCTCACTGGCCTCTCTCGGGGTCCCTCCATCCTTGACAAGTCCCCTCCTGCCCACCCACCGTGGCCTTTTTTGTTTGTAATCCAGTCCAGTGGGCCTCCAACTTTCCATATCAGAGTCCCTCGGGGACTCGTAGCAACTCCGATGGCTGGCCCACCCTGGGCTGATAAAGCGGCTGCATCCTTGGGTGCCACTGCCTCTGGTCTGCCGGCTCACTCAACCTGCTTGTTTCACCCTCTCTTGGCTTCATGCACCAGGGTTGCCTTTCCTTTTTATTTATTTATTGGCTACACACACACACGCACAGAGAGAGAGGGAGAGCGAGAGAGAGAGCGAGAGAGAGAGATCTCCCATCCCTGGTTTACCACCCACTTCCCCAAATCCCTGCAGCAGGTGGGACTGGGCCTGTCCAAAGCTGGAACCAGGGAACTCAGTCCGGGTCCCCCACATGGGTGTTAGGGACCCAACCACTTGAGCCATGGCCTGCGGCCTCCCAGGTGCACAGCAGCAGGAAGCTGGGAGCGGGAGCAGGACCGGGACTCTGGTGTGGGCTATGCGTGTCTCAAGCAGTGTCTAAGCGCTGGGCCAATGCCTGCCCCCAGCTTCCCTTTGACAGTGCGGTGTTAGGGCCCGACTGTCCTCAGGGCAGGAAAGTGACTCCAGGCAGACCCAGGAGCATGGAACAAGTGATTCCTTCTTTTATGTTTTAGAATAACTTTTATTGAGGTAACAGTCACGTAACATAAAATTATCCACTTCCTAGGTTGCGGGTACAGTGGCTTCTGAGGCACTCACTGTGGTGCACTGGTCACCTGTCTAGGACCAAAGCACTTCCATACCCACCTAGCAGTGGTTCCCCGACCCTGGCAGCCTCCAGTCTACTTCTTTCTTTTTTAAAGATTTTATTTATTTATTTGAGAGAGAGGAAGTGACAGAGAGAGATGTCTTCCATCTGCTGGTTCATCCCCAAATGGCCACAATGGCCACAGCTGTGCCAATCTGAAGCCAGGAGCCAGGAGCTTCTTCCAGGCCTCCCACACAGTTGCAGGGACCCAAGCACTTAGGCCATGGTCCACTGCTTTCCTAGGCCACCAGCAGGGAGCTGGGGCGGAAGTGGAGCATCCGGGACTCGAACTGGTGCTCACATGGGATGCCGGCACCACAGGTGGAGGCTCAGCCTACTTCGCCACAGCACCGGCCCTGCTTTTTATCATCATCTGGTTAGCTTCCACTTGTCTTCCCAGTGCTCCCTGCCCACGTCTGTCTCCCAGGCACTGCAGATCTGAGCAAGCTCCCTTCATCAGGCCCTGTCCCGCATGCCCCCTGTCCTCTGACTGTCCCAGAAGTCACTCCTCCTCCTGGTCTCCCCACTGTGCAGTGAGCAACAGCCCGGGGAAACAGGTGGTCTCCTCCCCACTCTGGAAACGAGAGACAAAGTCGGCTGCCCGAGTAGCAGAGCCGTGGTTGAAGGCCAGACCTTCTGACGCCATCTCCTGCCCAGCTCACCGCAAAGGTGTCCTAACCCCCTTGAGATTTTATGCAAAAGTACGTGCATGTGTACACATGTGTGATTCTGTGTGTGTGCGCACATGTGTGATTGTGTGTGTACACATGTGTATTTTTCTGGGGAGGGCCCATCACTTGCCTCAGACTCTCCCGGGGAACCCTCATGTCTCCCCACACCTCCTCTTTTTGTCATCCTGCCTGCTGTGGGCTCTGTTTTCCTCTGAGTGGAGAGGGCGAGTGGCCTTGAGTGTGGACATTTCCTGTTAGAAGGAGACAGAGTGAGGGAGAGATGGCTCAAGGCTCCCCAGACCCTGCCTCATGCCATCCTCCCCCCTCGGCCTGCCCAGCCACTCATTCAACACAGGGAGGTCATGTACCCACCAAGCTGCTGATGCACTGGGCTGGGCCCCTGCACCTCTGTGCAGATGAAGTTCAGGATGTGTCCCACCTGCCCTGATGTAGGAGCCGGAAGTCCCGCCATGGAGTGGGAGGGGTCTCGGTTTGCCCAAGACAGTGTGGCCAGCTGTTTGTGCCAGGAGGAAAGTGCACGCGCACAGTAGAAAATGTCTGTCTGTAGGAACAACTGTTCAGTCTACTGGGAAGAGGGGACAGGAACTCACTCGTGATTAGACTGCGCAGCAAAGAGTGGCTAAGCCGTGTGGTGCAGATGTTTAGACAGGTGCGCGGTAGTGTCAGTGCACAAGGGGTTAAAGAAGAGCACCTTGAGGGGATGAACCGTCTAGGAAACGTTTCTGGGGAGACGCGGCATTTGCCTGACAACTCTCCCGTGTCCCCTGGGAACATCCAGTCGGTGAAACCAGTGCAGGAAGCTGAGGTCTGGGGACTCCAGGTGTCAGCACTGCCTTGTAGACTGCAGGTATCCAGTGGGGGATGAGTGTTGGAGTCGAGCTTTCTGCAAGAACTGAAGCAGTGCACACAAATTAATTTTTTAAGATTTATTTATTTATTTGAAAGAGTTAGGAGAGACTTATCTTCCATCTACTGGTTCACTCCCTCGATGGGCACAATGGCCAGGGCTGAGCTTTTAAGTGGATGCTAGCAGCCCAAACACTTGGGCCATCTTCTGCTGCCTTTCCCAGGCCATTAGTAGGGAGCTGGATGGGAAGTGGAACAGCCGGGCCTCGAACCAGTGCCCATATGGGATGCCATTGTTGTAGGCAGCAGCTTAACTCCCTACGCCACAATGCTCCCACCCACCCCCACTTTTAAGAATAATTAATTTTGTAACAGGTGCTATTAACAATAGCCACAAGGGCCCATCCAGGGGGTGGGAAGAGTCCCTTATGCTAAGGGAAGGGCTTGTCGTCTGACCCCAGAGGACCTGGCCACCCCTGTTCATAAGCTACCAGCATGAATCCCTCAGCCAGGGGAGGAAGGCACCTCTTCTACCTGGAGGGTCCCTGGGAATCCCCTGAGAATGCCCGTGGACGCGTGGCTCTCCAGCCCAGTCCCATCATTGCCTGGGCTCCTGGGGAGTCTGGGTACAGTGTTCTGTGCTCACCGAGTAGCTCAGCCAGGAACTGCGTCCCCCGAGTCTTGCACACGGGGGAGACCGCTCCCTGTATCCAGCCACAGCAGTAGCTCTCAGGAGCGGGATACCACCGGTTGCCAACGTTTGCAGGGAGGGCCAGAAATCAGAGCAGGCTGTTGCCTTGGAAACCATGTTGGTAGTGGTAACTCGGGTGTTCCAGCCACCTCTGCCCTGCACACCTGCAGTCCCCCCAGGAGTTCTGAGCCCTCTCGGGGTACCACCCGCAGCCCCCCTCCAGGGGCGATAATGAAGGGCTGTGCCCGGAGCTGCTGTGCAGGTGCCAGTGGGCTGGGAGCCTGGTGCACACTGCGGACCCCAGGGTGTGTTGGAGCCACAGCGGGATGTGCAGAGGGAAAGCCCCCAGGCCCTAGGGTCCCATGACCATGGCACATGCAGAGCACACGTGGCTACAGCAGGTGCTGCCTCCCCAGGCTGGCCCATCGCTGCCGGGCAGATGGATTGGTTCAGAGATGCTTGGAGGATCCAGGCCTCATCTTCAGCCTCATCTCCACCTCCTCATCTTGAGCCCAGCGTATCGGGGTGGCTGGCTGGGGATGCTTTTCCTCTTTCCCCTCATGTCTGATTATACCTCTCCCCCAACCCCATCCGGCTCTACCTGCCCAAACCTGACTGCCCCAAGTGTCACCTCTCCAGCTGCATCTGCCCTTGGCCCTGGCCCCAGTCCTGCCATGCTGAGCGCTGGCCTTGCTCCTTGCACCACACTGGCTCCCTGCCCCTGCCCCTTGCCTATGCTGCTCCTTCGCCTGGGCTGTTCTTCCAGATTCTCTGCCCTTGGCCGGTTCACCTTGTACCTGCCCTCCACTCAAGCAGTCCTCAGTGCCCCTGCATGGGCCGCTGCCACGCTGTCTCACCCAGCCAGGGCATGGGCTGCGGTGTGCTGGGGAGGCGGGGGTGGGGTGCTGATTTTCTCCCTAGTCCCCTGCTGTTTTCACCTGGGTGCCGGCCCTTGCCCGGAGCCTGGCAGAGCACTGGGTGAATGAAGATGGGTGACTGGGTCCCGGCAGCCATGCCCCGTTCTGCACTCAATTTTGCTGCAAGAGATTTCTCTTTGGGTTCCAGGGTGTCCCTGGTTTCATGACGCTTAGCTCATGCTGCCCCCTAGTGGTGGTCCAGGCTCATGGTTCTGCTGGATGAAGCTAACATTTTTCTAAGTGCTCTGCGCTGTCGTGAGGGCGGTGAACCGCTTCTGATTTATTTTTGTTGACAGGAACAAATACAGAAGAGATGCTTGGAAAATATTTTTTAAATGAACGTATTACTCTGAACTTGGAGAGTCACATTAACACTGTAGTGGAAAATGCAGCCCCAGTCCAGTGGGTGGCCCTCCCACCCCTCAGCCCATGCCACTTCTGGTCACCCTAAGCAGTAATGTTCCAAATGCTTGCATTAGCTCAGACTCTCCAGAACCACAACCCGGAGAGGTAGGAACCACGGTCATCCTCTCTTCACCAGGGGCGAAAACCACGGGACCCAGAGGCGGAGTCAGGTGCATGAGTGGGCGGGGCTGCAGAATCCAGGCTCTTGACCAGCGCCTTGCCGCCGCCCGGCCCCGGCAGCCACAGCAGCAGCAGGAGTGCTGGCCAGATACTGATTTTATTTCCTTTTCTAACTTTATCCCACTATTAGTGCACTTACCGTGGATATTACATGTATTGTACTGTGAATGTATTTACATGCATTTTCTATATACCTGTGTGTGTGTAGATGTGTATATCTATATACTGTATGCTGGGCACATCGAGTCATTAACTGCTTGAACCCTCCAGTCACCCTGTGCTGCCAGGCCCTCTTGGGAACATCTTACAGACGAGGAAGCTGAGGTTTGATGCCTTGCATAGGCTGTGCAGTCAGTAAGGCGTGCAGCCGTGCAGCTGGGGTGCAAGCCCTGGCGGTCTGGCGCCTGCACCCACATGCGTCAGTGTGCAGAGGAAACAGACCTTGGGTCAGTGAGCTGGGGCTGAGGGCACGCCCACCCACAGAGGACGTGAGGTCAGGCACGAGGTGTGGACTGGCCCGAAGCCAAGCCAAATCCCCGGGGCTTCCTGCCGGCCCCTGCCGGCCTTGAGAGTGTTGCTTGGCCTCTGTCTTCATTGGTCCTCCCTTTGGGGTGGGGGTGGGGGGGCTTTCACAGGAACTGTGAGGGGCTTAAGGACATTCATGCACGTGGAGCTCAGGTTCTTGGCCTGTGAGGATCGGCTCCCTTCAGCTGTGTTAGGGGAGGGGCCCCCATCTCAGGGCTGTCTCCTCCGCCTGGGACGGCTCAGGGGCCAGGCATCTGCTGACTGCCCCCTCTCCCGCTTGCCAGGCCGGGACCCCTCCCAATGCTGTTCTGTTCTCTGTGCAGGTGTGGAAAAGGGAAGCTGGCGGATGGGGATGGCATCAACCTGAATGACATCGAGAAGGTCCTCCCGGCCTGGCAGGTAGGTGGGGGCGCGATGCCCCAGCACCCGCCGCCGTGGGGGCCTGCAGGGCGGGTACCAGCGTCCCGGCTGCTCTCGGTGCTGCCGTGGCCCCCTGGAGCCCCGCCACGCACTGGGGACCGAGCAGACGTGGCAGTTCTGCCCCTTGACCAGAAGCGCCTGCAGGCGAGGTCTCCGTGGCGTGTGCAGGGGCACCGGCGGGGCGTCTCGTGTCCAGTGTGGTCAGGGCTGTCAGGGTCTGTGGGCAGACCCAGGCGTCTGCAGGGCGGAGCTGAGCTGAAAGGCTTGGCATTGAGCAGGCTGGGCTCCAGGATTCCCGGAGGATTCACTCCGCAAGGACAGTGAGGCCAGGACTCCGGGTGCGGGCAGCGCTGGACTGCGGGGAGAAGCACCAGGAACCCGGCTGCTCGCGGGGATGGCGCTGGGCTCCGGCAGGCCCCTCTGAAGGGGCTGAGCCCACCTGGGGCCTGCCGCCCGCACCAGCACGCCCCTCTCCCTGCACCTCTCTCACTGTTCCGCCTGCATCCACTCCGGCTTCCCAGCGTCTTTCCCACGCCGCTCCTCTGTGTGTGCCTTGGGCCTGTCAGTGGGAGACAACAGGCTGGTTAGAACCCCAGCAGCGGGGTCGCGAGGTGCCCTGTGCTGCTCCTGCTTGATTTACGGGGTTCCTCGCATCTGGAGGCCTACGGGATCGTCGGTGTGGGAGCTGCTCAGCCGGTATTCGCTGCCCTGGGGTCCCTGTTGTGGGTGTGCTACGCCTCTGTGTGTTTTCCAAGGCTCACAGGGGGTGTGCTTGGCTTTGAAAGTCGTTCGTTTCAGATCGCTTCTGTTGCTGCGTCTTCAAGTCCTCGCACCTTTCCTTGCCACGAGTATCCTGTTAGCGCCAGCCAGTCCACTTTTCATTTCCGATACTTCTTATTCACCCCTCGAAGTTTGGGGTGGGAGTGTGTGTGTGTGTGTGTGTGTACCTCTGCTTCTTGCACTTTCTTCTATCTTCTCGAGCACACAGAACCTATTTCTAACAGTTTTACAATGTCCCTTTCTACTAATTCTGTCATCCGTGTCATTGGAGTTCGTTTTGTTAGCTGATTTTTCTGTCATTAGGTGGGTCGTATTTTTCATTGCAGGCTTGGTAACTTTATATTAGATGCCAGCTGTTAGGAACCTTACCTTGTTGGGGGCCATGGTCTGTCCCCTCTTCTTGTCCCACCGTATCATTTCACAAGTGAGGCCCGTGGTGCTCACAGGGACAGGACAAACCCAGCCCCACCCCCACCCTGCCCCATGGCTTCCTCACCTGGCCAAGGCGCAGGGCCAGTTCCCTGCCCCAGGGCCTCCCTGTAAGTTGCCCCCAGGATGAATAGTGAGAGGGGGGCTGGCTGCGTGAGCGGGCAGTGGCTCACAGAGGCCATGTGCGGTGTGTCCTTTATGGGAAGGGCCTGGACCAGGGCTGACGGTCTGAAGGCTCTGCAGGTGACTGCTGGCCACGCCCCCTGAGTCCTACCCAGGAATGGTGGTGGTCCCAGGCAGCACGGGAATTCCAACTAGCAGTGCGAGTTGAAGGCCTCAGTCCAGGCGCACAGCTTAGCCGGCCCTTGGGTGTTTGCACTGCACATGGCTGCCCTCCTGACAAGCCCTCAGACTTCGTGATCCCAAAACACAGGTCTCGGCACAGAGCTGAGGTCCTGTTGGCACGTGCCGGGGAGCGTGGCGGGCTGAGGCTCACCGACTGCAGGCCCCTGCCACTCACTGTCCTCCAGCCCAGCTCTGCTCACTGCTGTCTCTGGGGCTGGGACACATCGCAGTTGTACGGGGTTGTCTGATACAGCAGAGCACGTTTGGCGTTACTCAACTCCTGGAGTTGGATTTTTTTAAAGATTTATTTATTTATTTATTTGAAAGGCAAAGTTCTATAGAGGCACAGAGAGAGTGGTATTCCATCTACTGGTTCACTCCCCAGATGGCCGCGACAGCCGGAGCTGGGCCAATCGGAAGCCAAGAGCCAGGAGCCTACCTTAGGTCTCCCACTCAGGTGCAGGGACCCAAGGACTTGGGACGTCCTCCAGTGCCTTCCCAGGCCATAGCAGAGAGCTGGATCGGAAGTGGAGCAGCTGAGACTTGAACTTGTGCCCATATGGGATGTCGGCACTGCAGGCGGTGGCTTTACCCTTTATGCCACAGCGCCGCACCCACCCCCCACCCCCCACCCAATGTTTGTCGCTGGGGAGGAGCACTGTGAGGATCACCCAGAGTGCCTCCCACATCCAAATTCAGGCCCTGAGACCCTGCACACCCCATCACCTGGGGGAAGCGCAGCCCTGGCCTGGGGGCCTGCAGCCCTCCCGTGGGGGTTCTGGGCCTGTGCAGATGTGCGTGGGCTTCCGTGGGGCTTCCACAGGCAGAAGTCAGTGTTCCTTTATGTTTAATTAATTACCTTTATTTGGAAGGCAGAGAGACAGAAACAGATGCACACACACAGAGTTCCCATCTGCTGCCTTATTCCGCAGATGTCTACAGCAGCCAGGGCTGGGCCAGGCTGAGCCAGGATCTCCATCCAGTCTCCCATGTGGGAGGCAGGAACCCAACTACGTGAGCCGTCACCGCGGCCTCCCAGGGTCTGCATCAGCAGGAACCTGGCGTTGGGAGTAGCACCAGGACTTGAACCCAGGCCTTAGGTGGAGGCAGGCGTCCTTAACCGCCGAGCCACACCTCTGCCACCAATGCCCTGGAGGATAGGATGAGATAGGGGTGGAGGGGCCGGCTTGAGTTCGCCGCCCAGCTGTCCCTCTGGAGCCCAGGAGAAGAGAGCTGTTAAAAGTCCTGCCGTAGAGACCCAGGCCAGCTCCGGGCCCTTTGTTCCCTGTTCAGACTCATTGGCAGAGAGGATGCTTTGTGACTGGACTCGCCTGGGGGTCAGATGCCCACCTGGGTGCCTGTCAAGAGCTGCCCCTACCCCGCCCCAGCCAAAGCCGTGGACCCGATCCCCAATGGTACCGCTGGATGTATTCCCCAGTGGGCTGTGAACTGGGGGTGGATCTCCATGTGTCGCCTCAGGGAGCCCCATCTCTAGGGCTGCTGGGCTCGGGCCTTCAGAGCTGCTCCAGAACTTGGGGCACAGGGCAGATAGTGGGTACCCATGTTCAGGGATCACACTGGTGTCTCTGTGCACCCCAGCTGCCAGGAATGGTCCTCTTCCCACAACGGGCATTTAGCTGCTATAAGGGCTGACACTGGAGCTTTCCCCAATGCACTCCTCGCCTCCACGGTGGCTGGCCAGAAAAGAGCAGGTGAGCCTGGACGGGTGGAAGCCACACAGAACACATGCAGCAGCTGCAGGTGCGTGGGGGCTGGCCCTGCTCCCCAAGGGCTCTGATAGGGGCGGGCAGCAGGAGGCACTGAGCACAGTGACGTGAGGTCAGGTCCCGTGTGGTTCCAGGTGGTGAAGTTACACGGCAAGACAAGCTGAGCATAGACTGGGATCCAGGGGCGCCCCCCTCCCATGCCATCATGGCGCTGGCATCCGCCTGCCTTTTTGGAATCTCTGTCGTGAACCATGGGCGAGTGGAGGGGTTGGCCAGCCGTCTTGTTGGCTGTGGCGTGGACGTTGCAGCCTCAGTGTCTGAAATCCCAGTTGGAAGGTGCAGGGTCAGGATAGAGGGCGCCGTGGCTGTTCCAGGACTGATGGCTGCATGGCAGTCAGCTCCCACTAGGGGGCACCCACGTGCCATTCTGCGGGCTCCACAGTCCTGTTGGCCGTGAGCCGTCCCCTGGTCCGCAACAGATAAAGAGGCCTTTGCTGACTCCTCACCAGTGCTCTCCAAGATGATCTCCCTCAAGCTCGGGCCCTTCTCCCCCACAACCAAGGAGAGGGTGAAGGGGAGGCCACACACTGATGTAAGGAGTCCCTGCTGTGCAAGGGCCTGGCATTCCCCAGAGAGCCCCCATCCCTGGGAACCCACGGCCCAGGCGGATGGCTGCCCATGGGGTGAGGCGTGCCAGCCGCAAGCCCCACACCCCCGGCTTCACTGACCTGCGGGAAGACACCCATGGCGTGGGGCTTGGCAGCTAAGGAGTGCCGGCTTCCTCCCTTGCAAGGACAGGGGCTGGCGCTGTGTGATCCCAGCCAGGGTCCACCTGACTGAGCTCACGGTGAAGGCAGAGGAGTACCGCAGAAGGAGGTCCGGCCTGCCCTTGCACCGCCTCCCTCCCCTCTCCCACTACAGCCACTCCCCGCCCCCAGCCGCAACTGCTCCAGCCTGAGGTGGGGTGATGCGGTCACCTAGCGTCTGAGTGGTGTTCCACGGGCGTCTCGTCCCCCAACTCCCCACACATCCCCAGGTAACCCTGGGAGTCCCTGGAGCGCCAGGGCACAGGGGGCCTAGCGCCCTGCAGGAAGCTATGTCCCCACTCCACACGGCTTCTGTTTGTCTTTTAAGATTTATTTATTTTGGAAGAGAGTTAGAGAGAGGGAGAGACAGAGATCTTCCATCCACTGGTTCACTCCCCACATGTACACAATTGCCGGGTCTGGGCCAGGCTGAAGCCTGGAGCTTCATCTGGGTCTCCCACGAGGGTGCAGGGGCCCAAGCACTTGGGCCATCTTCTGCTGCTTTTCTAGGCCATCAGCAGGGGCTGGATTGGAAGTGGAGCATCCAGGACTTGAACCAGTGCCTGAATGGGATGCCAGCACCACAGACGGCTTAACCCACTGTACTACAGCGCCAGCCCCTCCATAGAGCTTTTGTGCCTTGCACAGAGCTCAGGTGAAAGGCATCGTTTGCTGTGAATTCTCCAGTGTCTGGCCCAAAGCTTTCTATTGGGGCGTATTTTGATCATTTTCCTATAGATAAACATTGCGTCCGCCGTCTTCGTCTGATAATGGGAACAACATAGCTGACTTCTCTTCTTGCCTTCCTGTTAGAAAATTTGGAGAGTTCATTCTGTGACTTTTGGCAATGAGTTATTAGCTCACTGCTGCCTGGTGCAGTCCATTCCTGACC